GGAAGTGTTTTATTGGCTAAACTTTGAGTGTAAAATCTCCCTCCCCTTCACATATGCATCAATAATTGTAGTTAAACAATCAGACACGTAATTGTGAATATTAAGCATTAATTTCTTGTAAATGTGTTTTTTTTATGTAAGATGCTTTTCAGCAAGAAAAGCGAGGTGACACAAGGATGCACAAGTAAGAGTTGAGAAGCACCCGGAGACACATCTACATATTACTTCCTAATAAACTATCTACATAGTTTGCTCTGGCAAGCTGTTTCGAACTCCTCAAATGAACTCCATTTTGGCCTGATTTTGTGTGAAATTACATCACACCAGTTGGTCCTTTGATTTTGTTGAAGTATATCAGGGCTTTAATGGTCCTTGTGTGGGCTTGAGAGTTTGCTGCATCACATTTGATAGATCAGGATTGATGGTGCATCAAATATTTTGTGTCATCAAAGCAGAAGAGACAGATGGAGTGTGACAGTACTCTGCTTGACCAGCTGAGAACAGTGACAGTGATCCACTTCCACGATCTTACAACTAAATGGATCATTAGACCAGTGTTTCTCAAACCTGTTCCTGCAGGCACACCAACAGTATTTTGGATGTCTCCCTTATCTGACCTATTCATTTCAGGTTTTGAAGTCTCTCCTAACGTTCTGATGAGTTGAAATCTGGTGTGTTTAATAAGGAAGAGGTTGAAATATGTACTGTTGGTGTGCCTTCAGGAACAGGATTGGGAAACACTGCATTAGACATCAATGAAAGATAACCTATAGGGCTCCGTGTTTATTCCCTTTGAACTAACCGAAAATATTCAGCCAGACTCACCTGTTTTTTACACCCAGGCAAAAGCATGCACACTTCTGTTGCACTCTTGACAAACTGAGTAAATCGAGACCTTGTCTCCGTAATCTAACTTTAATGGGAGCCACCATTAGAAGTAATACATTGCCTGGTAACAAACCACAAATCATGCAGGCTGCTCCGTTATTGCATTTGGAGCCTCGATCTATAAATAAACCCCAGAGCCCGGCAGAAGCGATAGAGCTTAACCACCGCTGTGGAGAATATCAACAGGATGGACGCGCAATCAGGTAAGAGTTCAACACCATAATACACCTGTTACCATGCTACAAAACTTTATTCTTAACAAAATGCATTTAACAGCGGAGGAAACACATGCTTAAAATGTAACATTTTTTAATCTCGGCAAAGACCATGTCTTTGCCAGAAGTTTAGCTGGAAGCACTAAAATGATGTTGAATATAAGAAAGACTTTTAAAGTAAGAAATTTACATTTTTAAATTGGAATGTGTCAGTGTCACATGACTAGATCAGTGTACACCTGTCCTGCAAGAACATCAAGAAGATGTTAGAGGTGGAAATTTGATAACAGTCCATACCTGTCAACATTGAGATGCGAAAATAAGAAATGACCCCCGTGTGTAAAGAATCCGTTAGAGAAACAGCATCTATTTATCACTATAGAGTGCGTCTGACAGTCATGCACTGCTATATGAACTGACTGTTTTGAGGATTGCATCGGAGGGGCGACTGCGCCTTTAATGGAAATGAAGGGAATCCTGTCGTTTTTATATTTATTTCAAAATGTTTTCATGCCAAAATAAAATGAAAGCGCAGAACAGATTCACACTTAAGAGCAAGGAGCATCCTCTGGAGGTTCAGCAGTATAGTTTGTACATAGGGAGGATCAGTTCTTTAAATTTTTTTGCCACCCTTCATAGAAAGATTAAAAGAGAGACGGGAGAATACGGGAAAATGTCTGTACGAGACGATAGCCGGATAAAGTTGGAAACTACAAAAAAATCGTGGGAAAACGGGAGGGTTGACAGGCATGTAACAGTCACAACCAGGGCTGGCGCATCCATAGAGGTGACCTAGTGAATAGTGAAGGCGGCATTTCAATTGTTATTAAGGAGTCTGAAATCAGTCTTTTTTTTTTTTTGCCACCTGGGCATAAAATGGCATCACTAATCTCTCCAAAGCAGAAATGGATGTGAGACAGTACTGATTGGACCTACAAAACACACGTGTTGTGATGTAAATGACAACAAATTCACAACTGTCCATTTTTAAGACACCAGCATTCATCTAAGACAGTGGTTCCCAAAGTGGGGGATGCATGACAATGACAGGGGGGCGCTTGGTGATTTCCAAAAGTCAAATAAATTTAAATAAACTATTAGAATTACCATATTTTAGCTATACATCACAGAAGATAAAAAATAGTAGTTTTTAACAGTAAAACAACATGCAAATGAAAAGCCATTTGCTTTAAAATTATTTTTTTCATAATATCGGTTACGTAAGATTACCAACACAGCAATAGCGTTAGCTGCAGCAGATTGATTTTATAGCACCAGGTTAAACTTTCTGACACCTTTATGGCAATCAAAAACATTAAAAATAAATACAGGCCATCACTGAACATTGAGAATGATCTCTGACTGACGGTCTCCAAAATTAAACCAAGAATAGACTAAAGTGCTGAAAACATTGTTTCCCCCAGTCTCTTTAGTTGAGGTTAATATTAAACAAATTAATAAATGACTATAAAAATGATATGGCTGATGGACTGCTAAACTTTTTCAGGTTGTCAATATGCTTGTTTTTATATGTGCGCAACGTTTGTATATGTATAACCACCTCCAAGGAATTTGTGGGTCACGAGTCACTGGCATTGTTATTTAAGGGGTCGTGGGCTGAAAAATTTGGGAACCCCTGATCTAAGAGACCATTTGCATTCAACTAAAAATGAAAAACTTTTGTCATTTTAGGGGCCTTAAAAAACAAGTTTAAATCCATACGAAAAAAGTTTAACAATATTGTAATACTACTGTTTGTTTTGTTGGCTTTGTTTTTGCAAAGTTAAATCACCACTTACTGGTCTGGCATGTATCAGCATGTAGTATGAATCTGCGTGAACAAAACATCGTTGTTACACAAAATGGTATTTGTAATTTAAACTGGTCTTTATTTCTCTATTTTATCATCAAAATCAAATACACAGGTTTATAGTGTAAATAGATTTGTTATTCTCCTAGCTTATAGTGTCCAACTAAGGAAGTCTTGTACATTTGCAGTAAATAATGTAACTCTCATAGCCTGCAAATAGTAAAATAATTTATCAAAAATATAACTTTTTAAATACAGTGGTCCCTCGTTATTTGCGGGAGTTACATTCTAAAAATAACCTGCAATAGGCAAAATCCGAAGTAGTCAGCTTTATTTTTTACAATTATTATAGATTTTTTAAGGCTGTAAAACCTCTCACTACACACACTTTTCTCAAACAGGCATTAACAAATCTCTTGTTTAAACACTCTCGAAGTTCAAACCTTCGTAGAAAAATGAGTCCAGTATTATAGAATGAAACCAAATAACAAAAACATTTGATCTTCATTTATTTATTCCGTAATGGCGCCCTACAGCCGCGAAACTTCTAACACCCTTTAGCATGTGCAGAAGTTCAACTTTTTGTGCCATGGTTAGCATCTTCCTCTGCCTTTTGGGTAATACCACAGGTGCATATAACGGTAAAGAACATTTCGTTGACATTGTGGAGACAAAACTTGCAAACATACAGTACAGCACATCAGTCACACTGCTAGCGATCGAAAATTAAATAGATTTAGCAAGCTGAACGCATTCTGTACTGTACAGGAGACACGATTTGGAGATTGATTGACAGTGGTCTACAGCCAATCAGGACGCAGAACACAATGCGCAGGATTACAGTATAGCGAGGGACCACTGTACAATAATTATAAGTAGCTTTCCCAGTACTTGGGTTGCAGCTAGAAGGGCATCCGCTGAGTAAAACATGTGCCAGAATAGTTGGTGGTTCATTACGCTGTGGTGACCCATGATAAATCAGGAACTAAGCCGAAGGAAAATTAATGAATGATTGAATTTTAAATAGCAATCCACACACAAAACGGGACAAACAGCATGGCGACCTGAAAACCCATCTTTTTCCAACCCAGGGTTGTCAGTCTTGGTATCGGCGTCAATACCTGACATCAATAAAAGAACACAGGGGCCATTAACACATACAAATCCCAGGATATACACTACAAATCAGTATGTTAAATAAAAAACTATACAAAACAATGCCAATTGTTTGTGTTCTCACTGTGTGATGAATCCATACAAAATCAACATTTTTGGGGGTTTAAGTAACAGTAGAAACATTAATCTCCCCTGAATTCACGCCGTTAAACCTCAAATCCTTAAATCCTATTATTCCGTACTCCCTTAAAGTGTATAATTTGCTTCGTCTCTTGCCGACCAGTGTATTCTAAACACCGTGGGCTGGTGTGAAGAGCTTCAAGGGCCTCTTTTGCCAGGAAAGCAAACCTCATGCCGCTCAGGCTCATGATCAAAACACCATTTGTTCTGTATCGTTTTTATAGAGATTCTCCAGTTACACTCTGCTGAATCAGTATCCTACAAGAATACGAGGCACTTTGTCAGATGCGAGATCGAATTAGACACTTTTATAGACTGATAATGTGCTCTGACAGATGCCATATTTCACTCGGATCAGAAAACAGGCGGCCTCCTGCTTGTTTAAAGAGCAGATCTTTGGCTGTGATGTTGCCATCACAACATCCAGCAGCTAAAATGTCACATCACCTTCACCGACATACCTAAATCACTCACAAACTGCTGTAGAGAGACCTGAAGTGCAGCGTTTCTTTCACCTGTTTGCTGCCTGCATGCCAGGTTATTAAAGCACGTTGATCTTAATCAACGTCCCTTAGTTTGGCAAACAGGAAAGCTGGGAGGAAATGAAGTTAGATGCATTTTCTTTAGACAGTAAGGGATATTACAGCCATCCGTCTGTGTCCCAAATTACATTCAGTTAGACTGAAGTAATGATACAAACAGTATTCACCCTTATTAAGATGCATTTAAACACAAACTGCTACTGCTCACATTATGAGGCGTAATAACAACAAAAAAAAAACATAGCATACCTGAGGTAACGCAGTGGCTCTATGGTCTCAGGTTCTTTCTCGTTGGAGCTGTGGTTCATCTTGATTTATTCGGCAGCGCTTATCTCTAGCAACAGTCACCCTCTTATTGCTCTTTCTATTCTCACTGTGTGTGCCCTGCTTCAGTCTACTGGCTTACTGGCTGATAAAACCAGGCTCCACGCGTAGATCAGCTACTCTTGCTGGAAGTGTCAGCCAATTAAGAGGCAGGGAGACACCGGGAGTGCCGTCTGATTGGCTGAGCACCCCTGATGCTGGAGAGCTCAGTCAAGCATAAACCGCATCCCTTTCAGATGGAGCATCCTCAGTAGAGGAGCGTGAATGTGTCTATTTTGATTTGAACGCTTATTCATCATGGAGCTGTTTTGGCACATTATCTGTGTAATACTACTGATCATGCATATATTCACGTGTTGAGCTGTTATTATGCAAGGTCTGAGCATTTTGACAATAATTATCATTTATAAGACTCATAAACGGAGATGCTGCTAGCATACAAAGCCAGCAATATTATATTTTAAAGTGTTTAATTTTGTTATAAATATGCAGGGTTTAGTTCATTTGCATTTGAAACGAGCAACAAGCAATGTTTTACATAATGTAAAGTGTTCTAAACTGGATTAATGGAGAGTGATATAAATTAGCGCCACACTGCCGTTTAGAGGTCATATCGCGTCTCTGCAGGCATAAAGTTATTCTGTTGGGGAAATAAACGTAGTAAATTAGGCTTGAGTTTGAGATATATACCCAAACATGCAACTAATTAAAGTAATGAAGAATATAATTTCAGTACTCACTATAATCCTGATGAAAGTGTTATGACGTCACAATAACACCAAAAGACTCCATAAGATGTGATTTTACTTAACATATTGGTATTTATACTATTAAGATATCTGTGAAAGCGATTATCGCTAATATTGAACGACTTTTTCACATTTTAAACGACTGAAGAACCATTTTGGTCGCTCTGAAATCCGATCACGCGGAGAAGACCGTTTCCAGGCTCAGACAAAATGAAAGACGTAAACGGTTGGTGTGAGGGAAAGTGTTTACCGGCAGTGTTGGGTAAAGTTACTTTTAAAGTAACATATTACAATGTTCACAGCAAGAAGGTCGCTGGTTCGAGCCTCAGCTGGGTCTGTTGGCATTCTGTGTGGACTTCGCGTGGGTTTCCTCCGGGTGCTCCGGTGTTATGCCGAGAAACACACCTCTGCCGCAAAATGCACCCTCTCATAGACTTTTATTAGCATTCTCAGTCGACATAAATAAATAAATAAAAGGTCTTAGTTTATTAAAACGTAAAATTATTATTTTATGTGTACGTTTAAAAACACTAGATTTACAAATAAATGAAACATTTTATTAAGTGTAGCCTAAAATTAGCCTTTTTGTTGGGTTTTAAACAGGGTAAATGAAACACAAAATTGTTGCTGTTTTAAACTAAACCACACATACTTAATATCTGTATGACTGTAAGTCAATCTATTTACTTATATCTTTATATATCTTTAGTCAGGAAGGTTCCATTCATGAAACTCACCTCAATCACTCTAGAGTCAACTCTATTATTTATTATTGACTAAGCCAAAAAGAAAATTAATGAATGAAAAATACAATATTAAGTCGCTTTGAAGTAACAAATTTGTTACTTTGTTATTTTTTAAGCAAAGCAGGCAAATGTAAAGCAAAATTATTCGTTTTATATACATTAAAATAGGCTTAGGATTGTAATTACTACTTTTTAACAAAGTTTAAAAGTATGAAAGAGTTTAACATTGAGTTGTACTGCAAACAATAAAGATCTATATATGTGGATCTAGACTAGTTACACTCTCCTATATATTTTACTCCGAGGCAGAAACCAACATCACGTTCATTTTCATCTGTTATTATTGTTCTCATTAATCTGAACACAAGAGGACACTAAAGGCACGTGTAAACGGGGTCTAAAACAGAGAGCTTTTAAGTCAAAAACACTTGAGTGGATTGATTTCATAGTGTAAATACTCATTTGATCAAATGACTCAAACATTTGAGTGCTTGTTAACACCATGGACCAGGTTAAGCATTTCAGCTGACCACTTGATCAGATCGCTTAAAATGCTAATAAAAGGTGGAAATAGGTCCATGTTATGCATTAATTGTGATTAAATAATTGAGTACAGATAACAGAGGCCTAAATTACTGCTTCCAACATTCTTAACCTGTAGAATGATCTATGATGACATCATAGAATAGAATGCTTAAAGAACACAGTAGAATGCACATTCTTATGACATGGGTGAGGAATGCAGTGCAAACTCAAGCTTGACAGTTCTCCTGAGATTGTAGCATACATCTGTTGAGACAAAATGTCTATTAACAACGTTTTGAAAGGCATGGGCTACACTTTCCTCACCTCAATTGGTGAAGGCTCCTTTTCTCGAGTCAAGCTTGCCACCTCGCAGAAGCACTGCTGTAAGGTGGCTATCAAAATTGTAGACCGCATGAGGGGCTCTGCGGATTTCATCCAGAAGTTTCTCCCAAGGGAACTGGCGGTTTTGAGACGGGTGAATCACGAGAACATCATCCAAATGTTCGAATGCATTGAGGTGGCGGGAAAGCGACTCTGCATCGTGATGGAGGCTGCGGAGAAAGATCTCCTTCAGAAGATACATGAGGTCCATCATATTCCTAAAGACCTAAGTAAAACCATGTTTGCGCAGATGGTCAGCGCTATCAACTACCTCCACCAGATGAACATTGTCCACCGAGACCTGAAGTGTGAAAACATACTGTTAACAGCCGATGAGAAAATTAAGATTGCAGACTTCGGCTTTGCTCGATTCGTTGAAGACCCTTCAGAGCTCAGTCATACCTTCTGTGGATCTCGGGCCTACACTCCACCGGAGGTCATCACAGGAACGCCGTATGATCCAAAGAAGTATGACGTATGGAGCCTTGGGGTGATTCTGTATGTCATGGTGACTGGAACAATGCCATACGATGAAACCAACGTCAGACGACTTCGCCTTCTTCAGCAGAGACCATTGAATTATCCAAGTAATGTCGCCGTTGAGGAACCATGCCGGGTGTTTATCAGAACTCTGCTCCAGACAAATCCTTCCACAAGGCCAACTATTCAACAGGTGGCCGGACATTCTTGGCTGCAGAGCTAAAGCACAAGAACTCATAAAACCATGTGTTGGATTGCAAATTAATAAAATCTATTCATGTTGGAATGGTGTGTCTGTATATTTGAGTTTACATTTATATTTTATATTTGGTCGGGGGGGGCGATCATGTTGCCTTAGATCATTTGACCATCCTGGTTGACCAAAACAATTGACAAATTTGTAATTCGTCCTCCACAATAAAGAGTCTCAATAAAGAGCGGCACACATTTCGGGTTGCAGCACTAGCAATATAGGAAACAGGAAATGTGGAAAATACCAAGACAGTTACCAGAACTTTGGTTTTATTCCATTTTTTTCCCAAAGAATCCCTGACCCAGCAACAATGCATTATCTGCGCCAAATTTCTTGCTAATGAATGCAAGAGGCCGAATTAATGACATTTGCAGACGACTCATCTTTAATATTGCAACAAGCCCATGGCATTTTTGAGCCCATAGAAAAAGAATTTACATGCCCAAAATTAGATGGAAAAAAATGGCACCTAATTGGCAAATAATATAGGGCCAATTTAAAAGGCCAAAGGCTTACATTTTTCAGTTACAAATCAAAGGGCCTACTGATGTTTTACTTTTAGAACTTACATTAGGCTATTATTTGTGCATAAACATATCTAGACAGTTAATAAACAAACCGTTTGTTCGAAAACAAATTTTTTGTCATCCTTACTGCAAACCATGTGAGTGATAATATTAAATGTGCAGGGGTGCCATACAATGTTTTCTGGGGGAAAAGGGGGTCTCAGGCAAAAAAAGGTTGGGAACCACTGGAAGAAACCATTATTTAACCATGTTTAACCAAACCGTGTAAACCATCTTAAGGCCCAGGGTGTTTTTGTACATGCATTTTTTATTTCTCTTTGCTATTTGGGCTCATTGGAATCTAATTAGATTAAAACCTATGTATGTATCATCCTTTAATATGTACTTTTAGAGAAAAATGATGTCCATATATGTGGACTCGTGGTCCGAATTTACATAAAACACTTTTTCCTGGCTGTTTTTAATGCATATATAACATAGAATTATTTATTTTTTTTTAACTTTCTTTGACTGTCAGAGAGTAAAACCAAAAATTTTTCCCATTTTGGACAGTTAAAAATAGGGTCTGGGACATTTCATATGCTGCAAAACAGTTGCAGGATGACTATCAGTAACAAAATATACAACATTCAAAGTATTTTAAGTAGCCACATAAAAGCTCAAATGACCTGTCCACGTATGTTGACGCTCAAGCCCTAAGAGGTTAAACAATTCTTTAAATGACTTCAACAGTCATTATTTACAACAGTCAAAACATGGTCAACCATTTGATAGAGCAGCCAGTAGACGGGAGAAATTGTATTCCTCTAAAAATAAATAACCTATTACATTTTCATTCACATAAAACTTACTGTCATCCACCCTGACTAGGCTACTTCACATCCTTTCAAACACTTGAAACCTGATTAAATTGTGTCCCACCATTTTGCAAAATGCAATTTACACTCAAAACACACCCACACGTCAGATGAAACAGGTTAAAATTAGTTTTTATTATAATTATTAACTGATAGAGCAGAAACAGATGAAAAAAAAAGGTTTTTTTTTTTTTTTACAATTCATAAAAGAGATGCTACACAATAAACGACGGCAGCATCCGAGGGGGAAATGGAATGGTGTTAGTTGTCAGCAGCAGGCAGTAGTCAGAACAGCATTAAAAAAAAAAAAAAAAAACGGGGTATCTGTGACCAAAAAAATTTCCACAGGCTTTTAAGATCGCCGACCGAGAGAGGGGAATCGAAAAGATCGAATCGATTGACACGTTCGTTGGACTGTTTTGACTAAGTGATCCGAGCTGTCATTTATAACATACATAACTGCTCAGCAAAAATCCAGAGCATACTCCTAGCGAATCAAATCAGATGAAAGCAAAACGAAAGATGGTAAAAACAAAAAAAAACAACAACATGACCACCACCTAACAGGTAGGACTTAAGTTCATTTAGCTAAGATCCTGTGCTACATTCAATAAGCAGTAATGCTTTCAATCCCAGAATTTCCTTTAAGGAACGATTAAGCCATGACTTCCAACAGGATCGAAGACAGGACATTTTGAAGCATTCAAACACCCTAAACACAGTCCGATCTCCAATTCACAACCTTCTTAATCTATTTGGGAAGGAGCTATGGGGATATCCTTCATCTAAAGTGACATTTATAAATAACACAACATCCAAATAATGCCTAGATGCTGCTGCGAGAAAGCCTAAAGGGGAAGCACATCACAATGGTAACTAAATGCGTAACTTGTTTCTGTAAAATAAAAAAAGAGCTATCATCAAATCGCTCAAACAAAAAGAAAAAAAGAAAGACGATGATCTATTAGTAGTCCTGTTGCGGCTGCTGCTTATTTATGTTAGTTATGTCCATCTCTGTAACCATCCCTGATGCACAATTCTTGGTTAAATGTCTTTTATAAGCTTACAAAGAAAAGAAAACAACCCAAATTATTTAAAAATACACACTACACCAGCAGATGTATAACCACCTCAACGACAAATAACAATTTCTTAAACTCGCGGCCTTTCAAAAAAGGCCATTTCCAAAAGGGTGGAATGAGTCCACAGTGAAGCTAAAAAACACAAACAAACGGAAAAAAAAAACACAAACATAAACTCCCGTATCTGTTCAAGAGACGCTGCGGGTAGATAAAGCGTAAAGATGGTCCACTGAAAGGTCATAAAACAATCTCTAGCGTCTTGTAGGAACTCCACGGTCCTGTGTCCTCCATCCCAAGTGTCCACGAGCTTCTAAAAACGCCTAATGGAGGCTTTAGTTTCACTTGATGGAGCAATTTCTCCGTAAATTGAGGGTCATCGCTGCGGATGTGTATTAGATAGCTAAAGCCCGTTGGGTAATGGAGGGATTCAGTAGATGGATTCATTCGAAGGCCTGAAGAAAAGGTCCTTGCTTCTCCTTGCTCACTGATCCTGGTACAGCTCCTCCATTAGTTAACCTATGGGGTCTTACCTGTGACTGTACAAACTAAGGGTCTCGGAACAAAGGAGAGATGGAGAGAAAATATAGCTTTTTTTTCTTTTTTTTTCTTTTTTCCTTTTTTACATTTTATTATTGCTTAACGGCAGGTTGTCTGTTACCGAAAACCGACCGAACGTCCAAAAAGACAGAATTATAACTGAGAGAATCTTTTCATTGGAGCATTATTTCCATGTGTTTGCCGTTTGGGAAATGGAGCGGGAAGGGATCATGTCCAAGAGGTACTCTCTCTGACGGTCCACCGGAGACGTCGTCCTGTGCACGGACAGACTGGGGTTCACATAAGCCATGGTGACACCTGCCGGGAGAGATTGTGAAGTGGTTATATACTCTTTTATATTTAAAAGAGATTTAACTATATGGTGTTTCTGAATAAAGATTGCTTGAAGAGTGTGATAGCAAGGTAACAGGGTTAAGTTCAACTAGCACTGTTGCTAATTTGTCATTATACCTAAATTTGGTTATTAAGAAAACGAATGTACCATTTAGAGCTGCACAATATATCATTTCAGCATCGATTATCGCAATGTGCGCATATGAAATAGTCATATTGCTGGATCTGCAATGCTAAATCTGTATCAGAATTTGAAAAACACTTTTAAAACACTCATGCTGTGTTCACACCAGACGTGGAACGCGCGGATAAATCGCGCTATTCGCACGTAAATAGCCGCGTGAACATATGAGTTTACTCGCTTCATTCGCGCGTCAAACCCCGCTTCATTCGCGTGTCAAATACACTTCAGAACAGACGCGGATTCGCGTGATGGGCAAGGCTTCTGTCTGCCCGAAATTCTAGCTTCATAGCTGAATGGCTAACATGGATTTTATGAAGAAAATAACAGTGTTTATGTGCTTTATGAAGACTGAGGCCCCGTTTACACTAGTGCGTTTTAGTTTGAAAACGCATAAGTTTTGCTACGGTTACGCCATCTGTCCACACTACGCCGGAGTTCTCGAGCGCCAAAAACGGAGCTTTTTGAAAACGCTGGAAAGGCCGTTTTCATTCTAAAACGCTGCTGCTCCGTCTCAGTGTGGATGGGGCAAGACGGAGACATCTGAAAACGGAGGCGGGGCTGCAAACGTTCGCCTATCTGATTGGGGCTTTTCCTCAATATTAAGTAGCCCACACACAGTTCAGTCTCGCATCCTCTTCTTGCAAGTTAAGACTTCGCAAGTTTGATCAAGGCTGCAGTCTCGCCCTTTTCAGTTTGATATGGAAAACATACCGAGGACACGGGTAAATCTTCAAAGGGAACAGTGTACTTTATAACTTCATTCACATCACCCTGGCTACGTTGTTTCACTTTCTCAACAATAAAATGTATACATGATTTAAGGAACTGCCTATTTTCTTTTTAATATTAGCAACTTAACAGACAGCAGAAATGTTGAGGCGCCGTGCTGTATATATGAGCGTCATCTTCACTGTGTGGATATTTATAACAAAACGGAGCCGATAACAACTGCCTCCTTTCAATGTCAGTGAAAATACGAAACGCACCCTCTCTTTTGCTGAATATCAGTTTTAATAATCGATAATTATAAAAGTATAACATACAATAAGTTTATACATTGTAGGAAATAAAGGCAAGCGATCAGTCAATGTACCTGGATTAATCATTAACTTATCTTTGCGCTTAACCAAAACATGTTACCCGTGAACAAGTTACTTAATAGATTCCAATGACCAAAGTCAGGGAATTGGCCTATGTCGTTAGATAAAGACAACAACATGAATGAAATATCACGTTTAGCAAATATAGTGAGATTAGATCCAGCGGGAGATGCTTGATGAGCAGTCCGACAAGCAGAGCTCTCATCTGGGTAGAAATGCTGGAGCGCTTGCCCGAGAGTGTGTGTGTGGTCACGTGATGTGCGTTTTCAGCGTTTTGGTATGGACGGAGAGCTGTTTACAAACGCTGGGTAAAACGCGAGTGTGGACGCGGATCGTTTTCATTCTACAACGCCGTTTTAAAACTAAAACGCACTAGTGTAAACGGGGCCTGAAAAACAGCGTCGATACGTTTAGGGTCGTGTCCGAGTCCACTACATGCTTTCAGAGGTGCATCCAGCTCTGTGAGCTCATAAACTCCTCCAGAAACTTAACCTGGATGACAGAGGCTTTCAGCGGTGCTTCAGACTGAGACAAGCCGAGTTTGATGAACTGTTGTCGGTGAAGGCTGGAGGATTTCCCTCGGAACACCAACAACAGGTTCTACGTCACAATCACGCCCCCACAAGAGCAAGCTTCTGATTGGTTAACGCGGCGCGAATATACGCTGAAGTTCAGATTTTCGAAATCAAGAGATTCGCGCGAAACGCTCGTTAAGCACGTCAAACTCGCAAAACGCTCAATTCGCCCCGCGCCATTCGCGCAATTTGCGTCATTTGCGCCGCAGGATGTCTATTCGCGCGTTTGCATTGACTTAACATGTAAATCACTCGCGCTTGATGCACGTGCCGCGTTTGGTGTGAACGCAGCATCATGATTTGAAATTTTGTTTGAGAACATATTGCAATGTTTAACCATAAACTTTCCAAAACATTTATTATTTATTTGTGTTTTTATCTGTTAATTCAGTATAAAAATATTCAGACATACAAGATTACATTTCTAACCTAAAGAAAGATTAACTGCATATTTATATTTATATTATAGACGTGGGATTATAACCGGTTTCAAGGTTTACCGAGGTTTGGAAAAGTCAAGGTTTTAAAACGGTCAACGTTTTCTGTTATACTGTACCATTCAGAAGGTATACAGTTAAAGTCAGAATTATTAGCCCCACTGTTTATTTTTTTCCCGAATTTCTGTTTAACGGCGAGAAGATTTTCTCAACACATTTCTAAACATAATAGTTTTAATAACTTTGCTGTAATGACAGTAAATAATATTTGACTAGATATTTTTCAAGATACAAGCATTCAGCTTAAAGTGACATTTAAAGGCTTAACTAGGTTAACTAGGCAGGTAAGGATAATTAGGCAAGTTATTCCATAACAATGGTTTGTTCTGTAAACTATTAAAAATATATACTGTAGCTTAAAGGGGCTAATAATTTTGACCTAAAAATAGTGTTTAAAAATTAATAACTGCTTTTATTCTAGCCTAAATAAAACAAATAAGACTTTCCCCAAAAGAAAAAAAATATTATCAGACATACTGTGAAAATTTTGTTGCTCTGTTAAACATCATTTGGGAAATATTTAAAAAGAAAACTAAATTCAAAGGGGGGCTAATAATTCTGACTTCAACTATGTAATTTCTTTGTCTGTTTTGTATGTTTTTCACAACTATTTTATTGAGTTTTTTTTAGGGCAACCATATCTCCAGCAGAAATGGAACCTCCACATCAAAAGCTACTGTTTCAAAATATTTAAAATGTTTCTAGTAAAATAAAAAATAGTGTTTAATGGGGGGGACTTTTTTTGGAGCAGTACTCACAATACCGTGATATTTTTATCCAAGGTTATCATACGGTCAGAATCTTATACTGGCCCATGCCTAATATATACATTTACGATGAAGACTATTTTACATTAAATGTGTGTATCAAAATATTGATAGACATCCAGAAAATGATAAAGCACTGTATATTTTATTTTTACAGTATTGTTGCTTACTAGATTTCTCGTTGTTTGTGATTGGTTTATTATATTTTATGTAGATGTACTGCCTCACAAAATCATTTCAAGGTATCGAAAATTATGAAATCTTTCTAAACAGACTATTTATTTCATCTAATGAAATTATATATGCAATAATGGCAATATATATCGTAAAAAAAAATTTTCGCAATTTTTTTCAATATCATGCAGCCCTAGTACCATTCGTATTTTTTCAGTGGTTTAACTTGCAAATCATAACCGGGTTGAAGAATTTAAGGTATTCTGTTTGGATATATGTAGTAAAGCAAGATAAAAAAAAAAATAAAGAGTTGAAAAAAATTGTGATAAACAATAATCATGCTTTTTTCTCCTTTATTTTTGTTTGTCTTTTTTTTGTGTTTATGTTGATACTAGTAGCCCACCTGATTGTAAAATCACGTAGCAATTATGTGCTTTAAAACAAAAAACTACCACATTCAATTCAATATATCTAATATCAAAAATAAATTATGATATAAAACAAAAACATTTATAAATATTAGTCATTATTAAATGAAGATTTACGATGGTAATAGGTAAAGGATTTCTTAATAATAACATAATTGTTATATTATAATAGAACTACGCAATGACAACGTAAAATTACACTTCTTTTTATGATGCAAAACATTTTTCCCTTCAACAACTGGCACTGCACTGTAATAAACCTTTAATGATGGTAACAAAGTTGATCGTTAATAACTAAAAAATAAAATATATTAGAAATAAATGAAGCTAAAACAAGCCAAAACCATGTCAAACGTAAAAATAAATGCATTAGTAAGTTAACAAAACAGCTAAAAGTAGCTTCTGTTTCAGAAATCTTTGGAAATGTGGGGGAAAATGTCAGAACAGGCTAAACTATTGTTTACCTATACCTATAGTGGGTTATACTCTGCTACAGTGGCACCTCTGCCCAGTTTCATGCCCTTTGCAATCAATATACGCTAATTACGGTGGCAGGATACAGGAAAAGAGGAGACAGGAAGGGGCAGTTTTGTTGTTTTTGTTAAGTAGGCGTCATCTACCTGTGGTGCCGCTGTTCTGTTTCCTCCAGGTATTGGTGGTGGCTTTGCTGCTGCTGGTGCCCTTTTCCCCTGCCCTCACAGCATGCTTACCTGGCCTGCTGACCAGCGCGGCGGCCGTGGCGGCGTTCTGGAGCTGAGAGGAGGTGGAGAAGCTGTGGCTCACACGTGCGCCCGCATTCACCACCTGCTGCACGGTGCGGGACAGCTGGCCTGGAGTCTGAGGAGGAAAACGTGCCACGTGAAGTACACTTTTGATTCATGAAATCCTAATTAGAGAGAGTAACATTGTTCACAACCGGCGATAAAACAGAAAAAGACAATAACTTGTGCATAGAAGATGTCCACACGGAATCTGAGCATGTAGAAATCCACAGATTTTTAGCCCACTGTTGAGTCTTTTTATTGACTTGCGTAAATGTATATTTGTTCAGTTTTTTACATAAATTTTTTCAGAACTAATATTGTGTAATATGTAAATGTTGATAGAATTAATTTACCAACATGTTTCATTCATTCATTCATTTTCTTTTTAGCTTAGTGCCTTTATTAATCTGGGGTTGCCACAGTGGAATGAACTGCAAACTTATCCGGCATATGTTTTACACAGCGGATGCCCTGCCAACCCAACACTGAGAAACACCCATACACTTGCATTCATACACTTGCTTTGTTTACTAAACAAATGGATCTAATAGGACTTGCATTGTAAACTTAAAACCTGAAATAAGTAACTTTTATTTTTAGTTACAACACTGCCAAATCATTCAGATTACTGCTGTTTGTTCAAACTACCTATTAAAATGAGCTGAAACAACACAATTCTTGTCATATCTTTGGCCAATTTATTTGTTTTATGTTCAGTCCACTTAAATTTGTAAACCAATAAGTTAACTTAAGCATTTTGTGTTGGGACAACATGAAGGAATTGTGTTGGTTCAACTTCCTGGTTTTGCTTTGCATGGGATTGAATTAAAAGAGGGAAATGTTAACAATAGAAGTAATAATACGTGTTCAAAGTTAATAGAAAGACTTGATAGAGTTTAATCTTCACTTTAAAACTTTCATGTAATGCTTTGAGTTTTCTGATTACCACCTTGCAGAAGCACCCATACTTTGGGTGTTGGCAGCTTAATTTAATTATCAGTCATTTGACATGCATTTTTTGCAGCGTTTGACCATAAAGTTTATTGTGAGACATTTGAGCTTAAATGAAATAGATATACAAATGTATTTAAACTTTTATTTGATAAAATGTTGTTAGACCAACTCAACTGCATTTAATTGTGTCGCTTTGTATAAAGCGTCTGCTAAATGACTAAATGTAAATGTAAATAGTTTTTTTTTGCTGGTTCTAAACAAATGTATAGAATGAAAATTGAGTTAACCCAATGAGTTATTTATTTTTTATTCTGTGCAGAAATAGCAGAACATTTCAACAGATTCTGCCTGGCTCTGCTATGACTTATTGTTTAATCAAGTGGTAAAAAAAAATGTACTACTCTCCATGACCCACAGATTATCTGGTTTTATTTTTGTAAAAAGTATCAGTGAACCTCTCAATGTAGAGACTAGAATGTTGCCAAGATAGAGGATCAGACACATTTTGTGCAAAATTTCCCAACAATTTGCCATCTGTTTTTTTTTTTAAAGGATGAAAGAAATAAAAAAAGATGAGCGAAGATAAAGAAAAAGAAAGAAGAACAAGAAAGAAAAAGAAGAAAGAAAAACAAAGAAAGAAAAAAGAAAAAGAAAGAAAGAAAGAAAGAAAGAAAGAGAAAGAAAGAAATAAAGAAAGAAAGAAAGAAAGAAAGAGAAAGAAAGAAAGAAAGAAAAAGGAAAAAGAAATAAAAGAAAAAAGAAAGAAAGGAAAAAGAAAGAAAAAGGAAAAAGAAAAAAGAATAGAAAAAAGAAAAGAAAGATGGATGGATGGAAGGAAGGACAGATAGATTTTGGAAATGTGAAATACCAGAAAAACAAAAGGCAAAGTATGAGTGTCCTTTACCTGCTTGATGGTTGTGGTGTGGTAGTGACCCCTGTTGGTCTGCTGGGGCAGTGACGCGCGCACCTGCTTATACTGCGGCGACACCAGCACGTGTTCGGCTTTAATAACGGGCGAGGATGAGGAGGATGAAGAGGAGGTGGTGGTGGTCTTGGGTGAGGCGGCCTGCTGCAGAATGCGCTGCTCGATCTCCTGCTCCTGCTGCAGGGCTTTGACGAAGGCAGCCTTCAGTCGGCTGGTGTGCTCGGCCTTCAGCACCTTCTTTTGGTTGGAGCTCATGCAGTGCTCACACAGGATAGAGCCGTTGTTCTTCTCCTGCCTCCAGCGAGAGGTGAAGTCCGTCTGGCACTGGGCGCATGTGAAGGGTTCCTTGGGTGCCGTGTTGGAAGCAGAATCACTCTGTTGATGCTTACCTGGAGCAAAAACATGGTATTGTTATAGATTGTAAAGTTTCATAATACATAAACAGGGATCCCACTCTTTGATCAACAGCAGATTCAAGGATTTTTTAAAGTACCATCCATTTCAAAACAAGCGCCTTTGTTACTCGTTTTCATTGAATGGTGCGATTCAGTTCGGGCCACCTTTATCAGGCTTGTGTTTTCACTGCCATAGAGTACTAATGGTGCCCTCTTGGTAGGCATGGTGTACGACAAAGTTGCAGTCGACGTCATTCTCGCTCAAGAAAATGTTAAAAGCTGTACCGGTGGTCATTTTTTTTGCACATATAGGCTGACTTGTGTATAAATGTTATTAACTAACCTTTCTATGAACATGATTTGATTATGGCTGCAGATAAATGATGAGAAGTAACCTACTGTGAGGTCTGCGATTATATAAAATAACACATATGAAGCCTCAGAGTCTCTGAAAGCAACCCATTACAAAAACAAAAATACCCAAAACATACATTTAGGCTTTCATAAATGATACAAAACACACACAGTCACCACGAACATCTCATTTTTATTCTTCACAAGCACATGCAACGTGAACATCTTATTATTCTGAGTCCATAATAGTCCAAAATGCGATGATAATAATTAAATATGGCAGTTTGTTTATGATTTAGGTTGCTGAAAGAATCATTTGCTCTATGTTTTTTGGGCTTTTTTTGTTATTTCAGCAAATAGAGCTCTCTGGAGAAAGTGAAACTGCTCGCGCTTTTAGACGGCCTCGTAAACAACAACAGGACATACGACAGATGGCTCGTTATTATTAGTATATAGTATTACGATATATTGTCTCGGCTGTGTATTTAAGAATGGCTTGTCCTTTGTTTAATACTCCTGGCTTGTGCACAGGCTAGTGATGTTTCTCTGTAAACCAATAGTGTTTAGCTGTGTGTCTGGCTTCACCTTTTGGTATCCTTTCGTTGTGCTAGTTACCCTTTGGAAAGGGTACAGTACTTAAAATTTTACTTACACACAGAATCTGCACCCGCAAAAAAACATTAAAAAAACTTACATTATCCAATCTACTGATTAACTTGTGTATTTCTTTCGAAAATGTACATGTATATACTGCTTTTGATTATGCTATTGATTTTAACAATAGTATGGAATAAGGTGCAATTTTATTAAGATGAATTATGGGCAATATAATTTGTATAGAAATGTTTTTGTGTGTATGTATTATATGTGGGTGCCACTGTATCTTAGTTTAGCGAACAAGTGATTATAAATATGGATTTCCACTGTAAATCCTAAAAGTTGCAAATCTACATAAAATTGTGTTAAGGTTTCCGCTTCTACACTCTTTTTATTCCAAATATCACAACATTAAATGGTTTTTAGGGCTGCCACAGCCTGCACCAGACAGAAGAACACCAATGTTTACAATTAAAGTAGACAATTACTGATACTGATTTTAGTCATATTTATACTTAGTTTTCCAAACAAGTGATCAAAAATGGATTTCCAGCAAAATGTTTTAAATAGTGTGTCAAAACAAGCAAGCCCTAGTTGTATACATACACTTTTGTTCAACATAACCTTTCTTGAAAAATGTTTTAAAGGTTATTAAAAAACTATAACAACAACAGCCTGTCCAGGTCAGTGTCCTCAGCAGTAAATACACTTAGTACACCGAGTACTTTTGAACAAATGGTAAGGAAAATAAGTCAACCATTATGGTAAATAGAGTTTTAAAAATTACATTATTAAATAAAAAGTTAAAAGTTTTATTGAGATGAATTGTTGGTGATTGGATGGGTGTTGGCCAGATCAGGTAGTTATACTTGATCAAACCATAATGTATACCTTTTTTAAAAAAGATTTAAGACGTACAACACAATGTTTTAGTAAATTTAAGACTTTTCAAGGACATTTTAAGAATTTAAAATTGATTTTAAGAATCAGAGGTGTTGAAAAATCTACCCAACAGTGCTCACAAAGAAAGCCGAAAATTCTGATAACGTCACTTTTTTTTAAATGTCAGTACCAGAAGCTATAGAAATTAATACTTCTGACAACACTGCGTGTTATGAGACTGTACTCACTTTTAGCCAGCGTGTCTAGCAGGTTCTGGACGACCATTTCAAGCCCAACCAGGTAAATGAACTCATTATTGGCTGCTGAGGGCAGAAAATTGAGCTCTGGCGCTGGAGGTTTAGGAGGTGGGATCTCAAGCAGGGTTTTCTCCAGCTGTTTCCGTAAAGCAAGCTTAGCAGCCGCCTGTCGGCTAGCAGGAGAGTCATTGGCATTGGAAGAGCTGCTGCCCAAACCAGACTGAGAGGTCTTCAAACCAGTTGAAGAGGCCTGGATGTTCGAAACAGATGGAAAGTTTAGATCTGCAGCATCTATTAATTATACTGTAAAAAATAAATAAGCAAAATCAAATCAAATGACTTTTATTATCACATCATCAGCAGCACGTGTGCTATGATGACTGATGTGATGATAAAATTGATTTGATTTGATCATGTAAGTGATTTACCTGAGAGACCAGGACGTTTGCATTGCCTACACTGGCCACACGGATCAGGCCTTGCTGGATGATCCTCTGGCCCTGCACTTGCACAGTGGGTACAGATGTTCTTGTGCCCAGAAGTAGAGGAGGAGGACCGGAACCCGAGTGCTGCTGCTGCTGCTGCTGCCGTAAAGTAGCGATCTGCTGTGGGGTCACAGCAATGGGCTTTAACACAAACACCAAACATTAATTTAAAAATTAAATGACTTTTAGTGAGGAATCAAGCTGTAGCTGTGCATACCTGTGAGCCTCTGACTAAAGGTGGCATGACTACAGTGTTATGGGTGCTGTGCTTAGAGACCTGCGCTCCACCTCGAACCAGAGGAGGAGGAATGACTGTCCCTGAGTTTCGGTTGGAGACCTGAAAACAACATATGCATTCAAAGGAGTGTTTACATCACAGTTTTTAATGGTTTTGACAATTCTTACACAACAATGCCATTTTGTGGAACTACACACATTTTTGTAAACGATACAATTATTGCTTCCATCTAAACAACAAAACTGCAATTTGGGGAAAATGCAGATATGACATGTACTGTTTAATGTGTTTAGTATACTGACATCTAATAATAATAATAATAATAATAATTTGTTACATTTATATAGCGCTTTTCTGGGCACCCAAAGCGCTTTACACAATGGGGGGGAATCTCCTCATCCACCACCAGTGTGCAGCATCCACCTGGATGACGCGACGGCAGCCATTTTGCGCCAGACCACACACCACACACCAGCTGATTGGTGGAGAGGAGACAGAGTGATGATATGCCAATCATGATATGGGGAGGGTTAGGAGGCCATGATGGACAGAGGCCAGTGGGCAGATTTGGCCTGGATGCCGGGGTTAAACCCCTACTCTTTTTCGAAGGACATCCTGGGATTTTTAACGACCACAGAGAGTCGGGACCTCGGTTTAACGTCTCATCCGAAAGACGGCGCTCACTGAGCAGTATAGAGTCCCCGTCACTATACTGGGGTATTAGGACCCACACAGACCGCAGGTTGGGCGCTCCCTGCTGGCCTCACTAACACCACTTCCGGCAGCAACCTAGCTTTCCCAAGTGGTCTCCCATCCAGGTACAGCCCTGCTTAGCTTCAGTGGGCGACCATGTGAGAGTTGCAGAGAGCTAGCTGCCGGCTAGCAAGTACTCTACAAGTTGCTCTACAAGTACTTGCAGAGCAAAACAATGGTGGACTATAATACCACATGTGTGCAGATAAATATTGTGTTTTTAAAGTGACATTTCAGTGTACTGACCAGGGTTGCGTTTCTGAAAACCATTGTTAGCCAACTAAGGTCGCAAGTTCCACTGCTAAAAACATAGTTTGTTGATTTGGCATTTCCCAAATCCATCGTTCCAGCACATATTCGCAAACTCCGTGTCAAACTTGTTTGTTTCCAACTACACCTCTGGAGCTGTAGTTGGAAGCATAGTTCCTGGTTTTGTTCTATTCCCAGTCATCCCCCTATGCCCTATTCATTTAAAACATTCTAACATTTAAATTTGGAATGATTAAAAAAAACAAAAAAACTGTTTGCTTTTGCTTTTTTGTAATTTTTGCTTTCAAAGTATTTTTACAGTTCAGTTTAACGATCTTCATAATTGCGCTCCCTTTGCAGGGAGTGCGCCTAAATTTTGTCTGGTGCGCCTAAATTTTTTAATTTAGGAGCACCGGTGCTACCAAGAATGCATTTTCGAGCCCTGTATTAAATTTTTTTTTCCTGAGCATCATTACGTGGTCAGTGCTCCCAATACAAAGAAAATGTGTCCCCATAAATTCAACAGTGAAAAAAAAATCTTTAAATGACAGTAAAATAGGGTTGTGCCAATAGATGACAGTATCGTGTACTGACCATAGGCAACACACCACTTGTTCGCTCACACCACTTGTTGAAGGAATGTAGAAGATTCTCCTCGCAAGGGACTACAGTCGAGCAAATAAGCAATCTTGTTTCTCCCAGAATGATAGCAGATTTTCCTCTGATGACTCCTCTAACTGAAAGTTTGAACAATAATCTTGCACTTCATCCATTATTTTAGCCGTCTCATCATCCCATTCTGCTTAGCCCACTCTCTGCTTTTTTGCTGGTCTACTGCCATGTCCGCTACATCCACCCACAATTAATCAATGTATTTTTTATTACCCAACCCATGATTTACCTCCAGCGCCCGCAAATATACCCGCCATCAGCGCATCACTCTTATAGACTGAACAGTACTAACCTGTAGGGGTCCTTTAGTGGACGAGATGCTGCCCCGGACGAGAGGTGGAGGAGCAGCCACAGAATTGCTTGACTGCAAAACACAAGGGGTCAAAAAACAAAGGTTAATAACCTTGTTTACTAACATGGCACTATTTGGTGTTATATTATGTCTAATGGTCGGATTGTTATGACTGTTGAAGTTACCTTTTGCACAGCATCTTTTTGGATCTGACTCTGCCGGAGTTTCTTCAGCAGGACCAGTTTGGCCTCTTGCAGACGCAGCTCTTCTTGCAGCTGCTTGATGATGTGTGTACGTTCGGCCGGGCTGCTTTTCTACACATATCATAGAGAAAAAACAAGTGCCATTAGGAGGTAAACAAGAAATCTGATGTATATAGTCAATGCCAACTAGAGAAAAAAAAGAGAGATGGACAGACAGACAGACAGATATAGATGTGTTTTTAAAAAAAGTGGCATTACCATTAACATATCAGTATCAGTCTTCTTAAAAGTGTAGCTGACCCCATTCATACAAGGACTAGAAGGCTCATTGTCTGACAGAACAATGACATCATCATCTGGTGTCGAAGGTCGCTCTTTCTTTATGTCACTGAGAGGGACAGATAGAAAAGAAAGAGGGGTCAGGGATAAGAAAAACCCATTGATGTTATGTTCCACATTTAGAGTTCTCCTGTAAGTATATAGAACTTCTGCAGTATACATTATGACCAGTATGTACAAAATGGTCTGTCTGAATTAAATGCTCAGATGATATCGCACAATGCAATGAAGTTTATTCCAATAATAATACTATTAAAATATCTTGGCTAATTATTTGGCCTTCTTGTCTCTGAACTAATCCAAAAATCTGTAAATCTAATAAGGTTTAAAAGTTTATCATTCCTTTTGGGGATAAAAAAAAAATAGATTAACAAGTCGGGCGGGATACATTTTGACCGTAGTTTTTTGAAGCGTTCAGAAACATTAGGTAAGTGGGTAAGCTTTGCTTTTTTGTATTTTTGTTTATTATTTTAGGGAGTATATTTTATTGGCGTCAACTTCCCTGAAGATTTCAGTTTCTTTTTTACATTTTTATTTTCTTTGGTAAGTTAAGTGGAGATGTTCTAGTTTATGTAGCTGTTGGTTTTGTTTAGTTCTTTGCTTTGGCACCACTGCAGCTCCTTTTCCCACTGTAATTTTGGTTTGGTTATATTTCTGTGATGCTAATTATTTTTAAATGCACTGTACAAAGCTCATATATGACCTTTGGTTGGCTTTATCATTTTTCCTTATAGGTTGATATCACATGACGTCATTGATGATGCGCGAGACTCAGATGCAGGGCAGGAAGTGATTCTTCTGCATAGAAATCGCTATCACAACATCAAAATATTTGTTTAATGTTGTTTATGTCAGCAAAAATAAGAAATTTAAAATAGCTTTTAAAGTCTTCCAAAAGTTTTTATTCATAAAGGGGGAAAAGTTCAAGAAACTGGCTGAAAAAAAAGAAAGAAAAGGCGGCATGTAATAGACATTCATTTAATGCATCCATGTGTACAAAATCTTTTTTGAACGAGATAATTCCTTTGACAACACCAATAAAGATTATATACAGGACTAGCTATGTGTATAAATATTTTATGTGTCATAAAAATTAGATGCAAACACCACCACACATACAAAATCCAGGAAAATATGAATAAAGTACTCTGCCGTGTAATCGCTGCAATGAAATCGCCGTCTTGTTTTGCAATAACCTAGGTCTTTACTGGCGTTTGGTGGAATAAGCAACCATAAATTTACCGTTTATATGTGCAGCAGCAGCAGTGAATATTTGTTGATGGCAAGTTCATTGATAGAAAAAAAAAGAGAAAAATGGAACCCTTGCAACAAAACTAGACTGTTATTATTGTTGAGCACTTTCCCCCTTTCAAAAATAAATAAATTATAATGTAGACTATGCGTCCACGCTTTTGTATGCTTTCATCTGTTATTTCGTGATATCTGTAAGATACCCGCATGAGGAAAATCTATAGTAATTTATAACAAACATGTTTTTGAACCACATGGTAAAGTGTATAATGTGTGCAACTCTTTGTTAATAGTAAACTGATAAACTTTAATAAATACTGTAATGTTACTGTAAATTATGTTGGCACATTGTGATGACGTATAATTATAGCGTAGAGACCTGAAGCCTACTGAATAATTGCGTTTATTACTACAGTTTTGGCGTACCACAGCAACAATATAATTACTACGACAGTTTAATTAAAGTAATTATATGCTACCAAACACTATAGTATTTCCTATAGTATTTTTCATGTAGCGTAATAGCTTATACAGTATATTCCGCCTGGATGCAAATATTTTTTAGTTTAGTAGAAAACTCGGTTCTCTTCTTGATATAAGCATCATGCCAAACATATGTGCTTGTTTTCTATTTATATCTCCTTTGAAATATGCTATAAATCGCAAAATTACAGACTTTCCTCTATGTCTCCCATTCAGTTTTTTTACTTCCTGCCCTCCATCTGAATTTCACACGTCACTAGAACCACATGATTGAAAACAACCTATAGAGAAATAAATTAATTGAACGTTAAGATTGTCCTTGTTTATTTCAATTCATTTTCTTCAGTAATAATATAATTTATTAGACAACTTATTAAATTATAACATATATATTTATTATTAACTGATCACTTATAACTTCATTTAAGTTATTTTTAAGTACCAGAGGCTTCTAATTATTATTATTATTATTATTATTATTATTATTATTATTACATTCTCTATTTATTTTATTCAATTCATGTTTATTTCTATAGCGCTTTTACAATGTAGATTGTGTCAAAGCAGCTTAACATAAATGTTCTAGTAAATTGACAATGTGTCATTCCAGTTTTCAGAGTTGAAGTTAAGTTTAGTTCAGTTCAGTGTGGTTTATATTTCACTGCAGGATATTCAAACACTGAAGAGCAAATCCACCAATGTGCAGCTTAACAAGTATCAAACAAAGCAAGCCAATGGTGAGGAACAAACTTTACCAAATGATGGATGTAAAGGAAAAAAACCTTGAGGGAAACCAACCTCGTGAATGGCGTGACCATTTATTACTACTGATATTTTTTTAAACAACCTAACGGTGCGGGACAAACAGTAGACACAAAAAGCTGATTTAAAAGCGATGATTATAATTGAACATGTAAAAAAAGGGTATAAATTCAAAGCGCTGCTCATTCAAGTATAAAAAAAAAACACTGTGTATACTACTTCCCCAAAACTACCTTTCCTGCACTGTCCACTAGAGGTCCTCCTACGCCCACCATTTGCACATTTTGTAAACAAACACTTAAAGGAGTCACTCCTCAAGGAAGCTCCATAAGAACTTTCAAAATGCCACTCAACACAAAAACAAACCATTTTTCAAGAAAGATTAGACTCATAACACGCTCCAAACGCAAATCAGCTCTAACCACCGAAAGCTGAGAGTGGTGTCATGTTGACGACTCTTAAGGACAGTAGTGCTTCACCCAGAGCGGGTCTACAGCCCCTCCTAAGGGACCAAGGAGGAGGAGGGGGATGGGATGGCTAGCGGCCAGGCTATTGTGTGCACTCCGTCCTCAACTTTCACGGCAGGCAAGCCGCTCGCATATCAACAAAGACACCCTCTTTCATGCTTCGTCCATTGGTAGGTCCAAACTGGAGAGTGTCGGCAGGGGCAGCTGGGAAATCTAATTGAGGCTTTCAGCTGCTTGTATAACAGGACATTACTAAGATCAATGGAGAAATCAGCTTCTTGTGTGTACAAAATGATTCTTAAAATGTGGTGATTGAGTCTAAGGGTTGGGGTTTTGGAGTCTTTCTGATACTGGTTCAAGTAGTTTCTGACATACTATTTATATTGACATGCTCATGGTTTAGAGTGTCTGGTCTCTAACCATTCCAGAGCAGAAAAGTTTTGTTAAACTCTAATACTAACTCTGCTCTTCTCAAAAAGAGACAAGTTATGCTTAGGGTTAGTAGGAGTAGGGGTAAAGAAAAACTGACGCTATGGCAAGTGCATTGCATTCCCCAGTATGTCCAAACATGTAAAAATGTGTACAATAGAGTGACTCGGCTACTGACAGAGATGAATGAAATCAAGGGATTTATTTCCTCAAAAAGAACCAATCAGAATACTAGCAGTTGCTAGTCTTTCAGGTAACTGTGCACAACAACAAAAGTTCTAAAGTGCTTTGAGAAACATTGAGATGAACAATGTTTGTTTTTAGACTGGTTATAGTGAGGTAAACAACACGTAGCGGGATTATGTCACCGTCCCCCAAGTCGGTAGAAACACGTGGCCAGTTTGTGACTGGCTCCAGTTTGTTTGGTCAAAAAAACAGGCTTTGCCTTCAGAATAAGAACCATTCTGATAAACAATTACAAGTCATTCTCGTTCCTAGATACAACTAAAGTTCTTTTACTACTTGCATATTTTATCACTCTGTAATGTTTTAATTCAGACTGGTGAAATAGTAGCATGCATACAATGCTAGGTTGGTCAAAGTGGTGATGTTCCAAGTTGCTTTGGTTTCGACACACACTAGCCTAGATCTAAAGAGTGCTTTAAGGCCTACAAGTCATTGCTATTCAAATAGAGGGTTTTACACCTGTAGAATGTCTGCTTGTCTCTGAAACGGGGATTAAATCTTACATTGTTTGCTTTCTCAAGGATTTAGAATTTTTTTTGAGGTATATTGGGATAGGACAGTACTGAGACAGCAAGGAAAGGGAGATACAGGGACGAGGGATGGGATTAGCAAAGGTTCATTAGCTGGGGCTCAAACCCAAGACACCCAAAAGCAACAACGCTATATGTTGGCGCACAGCCTGCAAGGCTATTGACAAACAGCAGTTGTGTGCGTTTATTGTGGCTTTGATTACATTAGCACTTAGATTACCATTTTGAGCAAGGGTTTAATGGTATTTTTAGGCATTTTAGACAGACAATTTTTCATTTAATTTTACTCCACGATTTTTCTGAGGCATTAGCAAAACAAAAGTTGCTGGTTTTTGCACAATATAAACAACTTGTTCCATGTTATGGTAAAGCCTGTCTTGTCCTGTTAGGTCACATTGCTTTCTCACCACAAACAAACCGCTCCAATCATCTCCATTCTTGAGTCGACTGTTTTGGCCTGGATCAGAGCATGCTCACAAGTGTTCACATATGCCTAAACAAACTGTGCTAAGTGAGAAAATGAGGCAGATTCCAAAACAACAAGAGGATGACTCTGGTCTTCCCTGCTCAAATATTTGGCCACATACAAAAAAGATATGCGTTTAAGTAACTCTGTGGCTGGCAAACAAGTTAATAACACTAAACATAAATCAATGCACAATGACATTATGCGCAGTGCATTAAAGAGTTGTCTGAGAATTCACGCACGTTCTTGTTCTTAAACACAAGCGCATGTGCCCAGGTCGTTGCCAAGGACACAATCCGAAAACAAAACTATAAAGAATGCTAGAAGTCTGTCTGCCTGATGCATATTGACTTTTAAACTTAATTACTAATGATTGCTTTGCAGTTTTTAATTGTGGAATTACATTTTCACATAA